ATCTCGTTGTGTGGCCCTAATACTCCGTCGTAGGTAAAGCGACACTTCAGACATATTTCAGTTGCGGAACAACTCCATCACCCCTCCCACCTCCACATAATCAGTGGTCAAATGGCAACATGAATATTTTAGACTTTTGTCTAAGAATAATATGAGGACCAGGAGCCCTGCTTTGTTTTGTTTTTTTAAATCTCACCTCTGTATTAACTGTCAACTAACTGTTTCTGTGGTTGTGTGAAACCTGTTAGTATTCAACTGATGTTTTCCATTGCATGATATTAAACAGGTTCTTTTGTGGTCTTAATAACCATAAACATTAATAGTTGATGTTGCATGTCTAGAGTTGTCCCCCTCCCCACCCCCAATATAAAATCCTAGTTTTAACTGTTTGTGTTCAGGTAATTATTGTGTGCATCTATAGTTGTGACCAGTGTTTATAACGGCAGCAGAGACGCAGCCCAGTTTGAGTTTAAGTGTTTTGAATTGTAAATCTAATCTAAATATTTAACTTTTTTCCCACTAGTAATTAAGAAACTAGACATCTGTTTTTTAAATAAAAAAAATTAATTGAGGAATTTAACGCTAGTGGCATACAAACAAAGCTGTGCGCTGCTGCTGACAGTAAAAGGCAACCAGGTAATTATTATTTAATMGTCAATGAAATTATTAGTTGTGTCATTAGAAGACCCCTCCCCTGAGAGTCCATTACACCAACATGTTCAGTTGATTAATGACTTCCACGTAAAACACTTGTTCGTAAAGTTTTGGAGGAAATGGTAGCACAAATCCACTTTTAGTTGAGTTGAAATTATTTATTTTTTTTGTCACGTTACTTTTTGTTATTTTTCTCRTTGACCCCAGGAGCAGAAGGTGGGCAATGTCCTCCCCCAAAGAAACCAGTAAAGCTGGACATGGATGGAACCTGTACGTTCTGGACACCGTCTCGCCTTTCACTCTCTACCAGGAGATGGTAACACCAAAAATACTTAAATATTGGTTGTCAGAAAACGCAGAAGTACTTTTGTGTATTTCTACATTATTTGTTAAAACTAAAGAAATGGCATTTTCTGTAGAAACCCATCGTGAATGATGASTTTGCTGATATTCACTGGCAACATTAAAATTGAGTTGTTAAAGCTACGAAAAGCAGAATAMTAGCTAAAAGCTAAATGTAGCAAAACACTAGCTGAAAGTAGCAAAAGKCTAGATGCAAACTAAAACTAGCAAAARGCTAGCTAATAGGAACAAAAAGTTAACTAGATATAGGATGGAAAGTTTTGGGGCGATTGAACTTTAAACTTTTGAATAAATGTTAAAATTAGATTTTGTAAATTTTRCGCTGTAGAAAATTTTTTAGGTGGGAGTGGCCTATACCATGTGACTCTGTGGTGTCCATGGATTATGTTGYTAAAACCCTAAAAATTTTGTGAYTCATGGTTTAGAACAGAGGTGCCCAAAGTGGGGCCTGCGGGCCAAAATTGGCCCATCAAGCAATTTGATTTGGCCCACCAGTAATTTCCTGTTGTCCTATGTACAAACACTGTATTTCCGCTATATAAGGGGCTGTAGTGCAGATAGTTTTCAGTCATGGTGCTTGCTTTATCTTTGARTTATTCTAGTATTAAACGTGAAATATAAGTAACTACAAAAGTAGCTTAAATTAGATTTAAGCACACGTGTAGGTTTTCATTCGTTATAAGCACACAAATACTTATATCAGAGTATCAATTTGGGAAATGTCCCATGATTCTTTGCTGCCCAAGCATACGTCAAACTTTCTTTAAGTGCATGGGCTAAAAAAACAAACAAAACAAACAAAAAAAAACATGGGTCACTGGACTGGCTGCATGTTTAATCTTTATATAAATAAAAGAAAAGGGCCTTACTTAAAAGAGGTTTTGTATTTCATGTAGTATACTATATTATTGAAGTTGGCGCACAGTCATCGAATAGATTTTCAATTATGCCCTCTCAAGGAGAGGGTTTGGGCACCTCTGGTTTAGCAGCTAGAGGACCAAATACAAAGACATTGATTATAGCGCCCCCATTAGGCTGACATGTCTGATTATTTTTCTCCTCCGTACTCGTACGTTTTGGACCCTTAATTAAAAGGTAAAAAAGAGCAGAATGGTGGCTAAAGTACACAATTAACATGAAATACTAATTAAAACTGTGTACAAATCAAACAGTCTCCCTTAATTTTAATTTACCTTTTGTAAAAAATTACTATCAGCTACTGCTGTCATCTATTTTAGACACAAAGTTTGCATCATTTCCAAATATGTCTATTGAGGTGTAAAAACCGGGTCTTCTTGGTTCTGCAAACTGCTGCTGCTCCTGAAGAGAAAAAAACTGAAACAGGCTGGTTGAACAGCAAGAATCTTTATTTTGCAGTCCAGGAGATTTACAGCCAAAAACCAAATCGTGGCCTTCTGAGCCAAATGAATCACCAGGTAAAAAGATGAAGGCGAAGAGTAGGGACGTACAAGGCTTTTTTTAGATTTCACAGTGCAGTCCAACAGATGCACCATAAATTTTGTCACGGTATACCTTGAGCATTCCTTTCCTAATATGGTAACGTGCCGAGTTCTGAAGCTGGGGTCTAAGAGAGACATAGTCTGTGCATTCCTGAGAAGAGGCCTCCACTTTTAGACTCTACACTATGTTTTGTCTTCTTGAGCCTATCAAGAAGTTTTTATTCTTAGTCTTTATTTGTCTGTCTGTGTATCAGATTGAGTACAGCCAGTCGTACACACTGTCAAACCCACAAGGCCAAAGTCTTCGACACCTCCTCAGCGAAGCCCACCTCCTCCTCCGCGCCTCCTTCCTGCAGTTATCATCGCAGAAGCGGGAAGATGAAGGTGACGGAAAGACGGCAGCTCAGATTGACAGGCGGGAGCTGGAGGAGGCGTTCAGACAGAACTGTGCTCTGCTCGGAGACAGTTTCAGCAGGTAACACAGGAACACACCTGTAGGTTTATATCCCTTAAACACACCCAGAAACTCAAAACCTTTCATTTAAAACAGGAACACTTGTAACTCTTTTAAAATGTTAAATCACTCAGTTGAACTGAAGTATTTCATATAGATTTCACCTCAGTATTTAATGTTTTTTGATAATAAAATGGATGTTTTTTTTAAATTGCACAATAATTAATGTTGTTTTTGATGTTTTTGAAGCAGCTTTCCATGTTTTTGCTTCTACTTTGACATAAGAAGTTAGTAATCAGTAGCTGCGTTTCCATTGACCATGAAAATGTGCAAATTAGAATTTCGAAAAAAATTTTGCTTAACGGAAACACGTCAGTTTCGGGGAAAAAATTACGTTTTTCGACAAAATGATTTTGCGCTAGGAAGAGGTGGTTTTTCGGCCGTGTCGAAATTGATGTATTTCGCAAAACTGCAATGGAAAAACTTTTTTTCGCATAACGGGAGTCACGTGATCAAGAAACGTCTGTTTCTACTGGCGAAAAAGACGACGAAGAAGATAACAGGAAGTAAAAGTAGTAGTAAAATCACMGAAGTAGTAAAAGAAAGTATTAAACTCACCGACAACATTTTCCCAAAAACACCGCATACGTAGCCGCTCCCAGGTATAAGGGGCTTTTGGCTCGAAAGCCTCGATAAGACCCTGACGTCTCCTCTGATGAGCGCTAGTATCGTAGTTTCAACATGCTATGTGTTTACATCCATCGCCGCCATGTTTGTAATGAATTATCGCAAGAACAAACGTATTCACGCGTGACTTTAATAGCATTTCTTACTTAATGGAAACACTGCAGTTGTGAAACTGTGTTTTTTCAACATTAACAGAATATCAACAAAGTTTTGCGCACATTTGCAATGGAAACGCAGCTGATGAGAACTGATTCTTTTTTACTCTATAAGGGGAAGTCAGAAGGACTGCCACCTGGCGTTGCCGTACTACAGGATGTCGGGTCTGTCAGTCACTGCAGTCATGTCCAGGAACCGCCCACTTCCAGACAGCCCTGTCTCCTATGGTCCTGGCTTCCTGTTTTATCTCAAACATTACCTGCTAGAGGAAACAGATGAGTGCCTCAGTCAGGTACCAAAACCTCAAGAAAAAGTTTATTCAGACATCCATTTAAATATTTAAATACAGTCGATCAAACGTTTTAGCTTAAAATAAAATATAAGTAAATAAAAATACGCTGTTTCAATCGACACTCTGTCCCCACAGGAGGCAGCTGATGAGGTCTTTGACGTTTTCAGCCAATCGGAGCCTTCGCTTCTTGTCCACGTCTGCGCCAGCCCGTGCATGGCGGGCATCAGCGCCACTCGGACGCTTAAGGTTTTACAACGTTTGGAGGACACGGCCGGGGTGTCGGTACCTCTGACCATCACCATGGCGACCATGATGCTGCGCCTGGGAGACCAGCAGCAGTACACGGCGCTGATGGAGCGGCACGCTGAGGTCAGGATGAAAGTTCTGTTACAGCTTCTGAGGAAATAGTTTTGTCTGTTCTTCAAATATTTACACGTTTTTTGCTGCTGTGCACTTTTCATTGGAAACAAACTTTTATATGGTTGCTACATCTCTGTAGCAGGAGGCTATATCTGTTCCTAAGCCAGCTATTGATCTGATTAATGATAGACCGGCACCACTTAACTGAGAGACTGGCACTGGCAAACAAGGAGACTATTCATTTGTGTTAGCATCAGAGAGGCTAGCGACTAGAATTGATAGGCTGGCGTTAGCATTGTAGAGGCTAGCAACTAGCATGGCTAAGCTTGTGTTAGCATTGTAGAGGCTAGCAACTGGCATGCCTAGGCTTGTATTAGCATTGTAGAGGCTAGCAACTAGCATGGCTAGGCTGGTATTAGCATTATAGAGGCTAGCTACTAGCATGGATAGGCTGGCATTAGCATTGGAGAGGCTAGCAACTAGCATGGATAGGCTGGCTTTAGAATTGTAGAGGCTAGCAAATAGCATGGCTAGGCTGGAGTTAGCGTTGTAGAGGCTAGCGACTAGCATGGATAGGCTGGCATTAGCATTGGAGATGCCAGCGACTAGCATGGATAGGCTGGCATTAGCATTGGAGATGCTAGCGACTAGCATGGATAGGCTGGCTTTAGCATTGTAAAGGCTAGCGAATAGCATGGCTAGGCTGGTGTTAGCATTGGAGAGGCTAGCGACTAGCATGGATAGGCTGGCTTTAGCATTGTAGAGGCTAGCGAATAGCATGGCTAGGCTGGTGTTAGCATTGGAGAGGCTAGCGAATAGCATGGCTAGGCTTGTGTTAGCATTATAGAGGCTAGCAACTAGCATGGCTAGGCTGTTGTTAGCATTGTAGAGGCTAGCGACTAGCATGAATAGGCTGGCTTTAGCATTGGAGAGGCTAGCAACCAGCATGGATAGGCTAGCTTTAGCATTGGAGAAGCTTGTGACTAGAATGGAGAGGCTAGCGACTAGCATGGGTCAGCTGGTGTTAGCGTTGTAGAGGCTAGTGACAAGCATGGACAGGCTAGTAATTTTTTTTCTTTTTAGCCAAATTATGGGAAATATCTTTATATGACATTATAAATTTTAATTCAATAAAGAGAAGCCTAATTTAATACTCTGTCAAAAACTGTGAAAAGCTCCAACTTGATAGTTCTGGCTTTTCTCATAATTCGGCTAAAGAGAAAACAAAACACTGCCGTACACCAATAGATAAGGACAAACTCAGGCAAAGCTTTCTGCATTACAGTAATGTATTTTATGTTTAATATCTATGCGTGACGTCATGTGGAACAGTAAGTTCTTTCTAAGGAACACCTGTCAGTGTAAGTTGCTTTTAGGTTTGTATGTCAGTCACTTTTGTTGAGAAAGATTTCTTTATTCAAAAAAAAGGTTTGTGTCTAATAAAGTAGGTGAGCAGCCTAGGTATGCTAGTCGCTAGCCTCTACGATGCTAACGCAAATGAAAAGTCTCATTTGCCAGTGTTGGCCTCTCAGTTACCGGGGCCAGCTGCTCAGTTATTGGTGCCGGTCTATCATTAATCAGATCAATAGCTGGTTTAGGAATAGATATAGCCTCCTGCTTCAAGGATGTAGCAACCTTTAGTTAGTGTTTATTTTGGCCCTCATAGTGCGTCATGTAAATCTTAGATGCTGCTGGTGTATGGGTTTATCGAGGAGCCGAGGCTGCTGCTTTATGTTGGAGCAGGGAGCAAGAACGATCAGGTCAGACCCACAGCGTTGGCTCGACAGCTGGCAAACTCCCAACCCGGGCTCCTCGTGGCTGCCATGGTGGCTTTACATGAGAACAGCAAAGTTCAGCTGGAGCAGGCGGATCACACATTTAAGGTTTGTATAGTTGAAACATTACAACTCGAAAAGTATATTAAATCCACTTATTTTTCACATTAATTACAAGGTGCTTGATTTACATCCATTTTTCTCTGCCTTGAAACACTGTGTGTGTGTTTGTTTTTGTGTGTGTGTGTGTGTGTGTGTGTGTGTGTGTGTGTGTGTGTGTGTGTGTGTG